TGGATGTTACACAACAGCTCAGTCAACTGGAGATTAGAGAGAGAGAGATTAAGTCCAGGGGGGAGGGAGGGGTGAGGAGGGAGATTACAGCTGCATCTTCTCACACACGTGTGCCCCCCCCCCCCCCCCCCACACTTACACACACACAAACACACACTGTTTCTGTTCTTATACCTTCAGGCAGCCCAGCAGCAACATGTGGTGTGAGACCAGGGGTGAGGACCAGGGGTGAGGACCAGGGGTGAGGACCAGGGTCCGCCTGAACCTGGGATCTGAAGGACACGACTAGAAGAAGAAAGAGAGTAAAGAAGACCACCGTAGACCACCGTCGACCACCGTAGACCACCGTAGACCACCGTCGACCACCGTAGAGCCCTGAAAAGAGAGTCCACAGTCATGGGTTCTCTTCTCCACTGAACCACCGTGCTGTCGTTGACCTCATGTCCATCACAGTGACCTCCGGTCTTGGCTGCGGCCGCAGACTGCTGTGGTCAGTCTTCTGGACTCTGGTCGTGGCTGAAGGTTCTACACTGGACCTGCAGAACAACAGAACCCGGTCGGTGGAAGAGAACTGGACCAGCAGTACCACGGAACTGCAGCCCAACCTGCGGACTGAGGCCCCGACCCAGGGCACCTCCATGACCGCCACAGGTCAGTACTGTTCCTCCATGTCTCCACAGACACAGACGTTCATTAGTACCGATGACTCAGAGGACGTGGTTCTTGTTCCAGTGGAACTGTTTATCTCTCTCTCACTGGAGCTCAGCAGATTAGGATTAGGTCCAGATCGGCCGAGAGCCCAGAGGAGCGGGCCGCATCAGGCTGTGATGTCACAGTCAGCTGGTTAACTAGTCCAGGGATGTGGACCACATTAACTACACTTGAATATTTACTAGTGTTCCTGAGTGGCCCACTGGTGGGCTGGGTCAGAAACCCCACTGGGCCACAACCACAGTGTAGAGCGATGTGGAGGAAACCCAGGTGCATGCTGGGAGGCCAGATCAGGACTCATTATCAGACGGTGTCCACGTGTCCCCCCAGGTCCGTCCTGTGACCCGGTCCAGCCCCCGCGTCGGGGCTCCTTCTTCGTGGACCGTGGGACGGGTGCGTCCGTGGGCAGCGTGCTGACCTTCTGGTGCAGGGAGGGGTACCAGCTGGTGGGCTCGGACCAGGTGCACTGCTCCATCAGAACAGGGAGACCAGAGTGGAGCCCCCCCCCACCCGTCTGTGAAGGTGAGCGGTCTGCCACAGGGGGGCGCTGCAGACCAAGCTCAGGTCTGAAGTCAGTTTTCTCTTCCTTCAGCCTCAGCCCGACCGTGGGACCGCGGTCTGAGGGCGGCCGTCCTGGTGTCGGTGGTCAGTGGGGGGGTCATCCTCGCCATGACGCTGTCCTTCATCATCTGCTGTCTCCAAGAACGCTGCAGGAAGGAGGGGCGGGGCAGGTAGG